GCCCCCCCCCCCCCCCCCAGGTGTGGTTCAAGAACCGCCGAGCCAAGTGGAGAAAGCGGGAGCGGAACCAGCAGATGGACCTGTGCAAGAACGGGTACGTGCCGCAGTTCAGCGGGCTGATGCAGCCTTACGACGACATGTACGCGGGCTACCCCTACAACAACTGGGCCACCAAAAGCCTCACCCCGGCACCTCTTTCCACCAAGAGTTTCACCTTCTTCAACTCCATGAGCCCCCTCTCCTCGCAGTCCATGTTCTCGGCTCCCAGTAGCATCTCCTCCATGAACATGCCATCCAGTATGGGCCATTCGGCCGTGCCGGGAATGGCCAACTCCGGGCTCAACAACATCAATAACATCAGCGGGTCTTCGCTCAACACGGCCATGTCCTCGCCGGCTTGTCCCTACGGGCCACCGGGGTCACCCTATAGCGTCTATAGGGACACTTGTAACTCCAGCTTAGCCAGCCTCAGACTGAAATCAAAGCAGCACTCCAGTTTCGGCTACAGCAGTTTGCAAAGCCCCGGCTCCAGTCTAAACGCCTGTCAGTACAACAGTTGACGGACTTGACACAAGCCACCTCCGTGAAAACACACCGCCGACAAAGCCCAAGCAGAAGCGAAGCGACGTTTAACGGAAAAAAAGGGGAAAAAAAATAAAAATTAAAATTCAAATTTAAAAAAAAAAATAAAATTCATTAAAACTGATCACAAGCGAAACCCGAGCAAGTAAGAGAGGAAAAAGAAACGAAACACACCAAAACATGACAAAAAAAAAAAAAAAAAAAAAAAAACCGCGGACTTCGACTGTCTAGGAAAAAAAAAATAAAAATACTAATGCAACGGCGCACCCCAAAAAAAACTGCGCTTTAAAAAAAAATTCAAAATAATCCATCAAAAAAAAAAAAACCAAAACCGTAAACGGACCAGAAAACTTTTGCAAGAGACACCGAAATCTGGTACATGGATGAGTTGCAATTTTTTTTTCTCTGGATTATGCGGGTTGTATGTGTTTACTTGAACTTGCACAGAGTCGGTGAGGCGGCCGCTTCCCCGCGGGGAGGGCGGCGAGAGAGTTGGGGGGGGGGACAGAGACGCCTCGGTGGTAAGAGCTGGTGGGACGGTTCTTGGCCGCTTGTCGCACGGGAGAAGAGTTTGGTTAATGTTTACCACTGAGAAACAGAATCACACTCGAAAAGAAAAGAAAAAAGAAAAAAGAAAAAGAAAAAGAAAAAAAAAAAAAAGGAGGGGGGGTGGGGGGGCAGAAAAAAAAATATAATTCGCAGAGTAGGTTCTGCGGGAAAAAATGGTTAAAATATTAGGTATGAAACTATTAAAAATAATAATGACAAGGGTCAACCACTTATATAAGGTTATATTTATATCTACCGTTGCATTGTGCCGGATCATTGTCCTTGGCCGTTGAATAAACTGTTTTTAAAATGCATGATTCTTGATGTTTTTTTCTTTAGTTGGAAGCTATAATCCAGTCATTCCTGATACTAAGCAGCTCAAGGTTCCTACCTCTTCATCCTTTCCAAAAGACTGCAGTATCCCCGGTTGTGAGAGAGCACAGAAACCCTCCAGCGCTGCGAAAAAACTGCTCAGCCTTCTCCCCATCCTGATAATGAAATTATCGTTCATCTGTATTTAAACGCAGGGGGTTGGTTTTTTATTTTTCTCTTTAAAACGAAAAACAACAAAAAAAAGAAGGAGGAAAAAAAAAACAAAACCCAAACCCCACAAACCTCTTTTAGAGAGTCTAGAAAAATAAAAGACGAAAAATAACCATGGGCTGTTCTGAAGTGAATCCAGATACTGCATTTCTGCTGGAGAAAACAACGAGCCTCGGCGTCCGGAAAGGTTGCTTAGCAAAACTGAGAGTGTTCCTTGCTTTTCTAACTGTGAAGGAAAAACAAGGAACCAAAAAAAATACCCCCCTGATCTTAAGGTGTTATTATCTTAAGGTGTTATTATGTAAATGTAGATACTTTAACAAGTGCTTGTTGGCAAAAAAAAAAAAAAAAAAAAGAAAGAAAGAAAAAAAAAACCAAACAAACATGGAACTGATAAATATGATCTTTATATTAATACGCATACAAAACGCATATGAAGTTTAATTGCAGGCATATTTGTTGCTTCTTTTTTTTTGTCGATACTTATTACCTGTAGATGACAAAGAAACATAATATAAAATGCACACGGTACTTCTTTTCCCAGTGTATTTCACACCTGTGGTAAACGTTACGCTGGATGTTTCAGTTATGCTGTTGTGGATAAGGATGCAGTATATATATTGTTTTATAAGTTATGTTTTGTGATTTTAATTTTTTTTTTTCAAAATTAAGAGCATGGGTATAATAATAATAAAAAAAAAACAAACAACAACAAAAAAAAACAAAAACCGAAACGCCATCTAGAAATGCCTTTAATGTTCTTTTCTGGCTATGTTTAAGAGATTGAATAAATAAGAAGAAAAACAGCTTTCTCTCCCCCACCCCCCCGCGGTGGCGTTTTGGGGAGGGCCCCTCCGCTTCCTCCCGCTAATTGCGCCGTCGCCCCGCGTCCGTCCGTCTGTCCGTCCGTCCGTCCGTCCCCGCACCCCGGCAGGGACCCGGCCGAGGCGGGGGGATGAAGCCACCCTTCTTCGGGGAGGGGGTGCGTGTCCCTGCCGTCCCGGGGGGGCAGTGAAAACCCTCCAAACCTCTAATTTTCCGGCGTATTTCCCGCTGCCGTTGCGGCGGGGCGGGGGGAGGCAGCGCTCCGCGCCTTTCCGCTCCCCCGAAATAAGAACGAAATGATAACGGGTTGGGTTGTTCTGATTTATATTTTTTTTTTCCTCCCCCAAGAGTTAATCCTCGCACCCTGAAGACCCCCCCCCTCGGCGTGTGGCAGCCCTGGGACGGCTCCTTCCCGCTGAACCGTTTTCCCCTTTTTCTAAAGTGTTGGTTTTTTTTTTTCCCCTTTTGCTCCTCCAAAATCGCCGAGATCCTCAATTTTAAAGTTTGTTCGATTCACTCATTTTTTCTCCAAGCTGTTGCGAGCACAAAAGACTCTGATTTCATTATAATTATATTCATTGCTGTAATGATTGCGATTGATATTGTGGAGAAAAAAAAAAAATTGCCATAATTCAGCCAACGAATTAATCAATTATTTGCGGCGAGGCCGGATCCGGCGGCGGGAAAAGCCTCCCAAACGCGCTGTTTGCGCGGCCGCGGATGTCCCACAACCCTTCACCCCTAAACTCCCCTCTTGTTTGGGGGTGGGGGGGGAAGTGCAGCTCCATGGAGCCCCTTGAGCCCCGGGGGCTTCCGCGGCCGCGCAAGGCAGCCCGGCCCCGGGAGCCGTTCTCTGGCAGCGGAGTGGGGGGAGTGGGAGCCCGCAGAGCCCCCGTCCCGGGGTTTGGGGGGGTCCTCGATG